CGCTCGCCCAGGTGCCCGTGCAGCTTTCGTCCTCCCTGACTTTGGGGCTGCGGGCAAGCGGGCAGCGTTTGCCACCGTTAATTTATCGCCCTTCGGGGAGGAGGGGGCAAAGTTGAATGTTCTGTGCTTGTTACGTGGCTGTCCCAGCAGCTTGCAGAGACAGCTCATCCTAATGGGTTCCCCTTTTATCCCTAAAAGCACGTACTAGGCACAGGCCAATCTGCCTCCCGCCGGCAGCGGCGAATTTGGTTGTTGAGGAGGAGAAAAGAAGGTGAGTGCAATGTTAACGATGTTGCCAGCCAGGAGTTAGTAGGTCAAGAAGCTTTTGTTCAGCCCGTGCTGGCGGTGTGCTCAGCCCCGTACGAAACGAGAGGAAAGAAGCTGTCCTGGTCCCACGGGTTTGCAATTGAAGTGGGACCAGACAGTTCGGCCCTGGCGCCAGCGGCTGTCGTGGTGCCCTGGTTACAGCTTGACAGCGCTCGGTTTGAAGGGACGAGGTCTGGTGGCAAAGGGCTGCTCGGGGGTGAAGGGAGGAGAGGAGATGCCGAGGAGGGTGGGAATAGGGGGAGATGGCTCAGGATCAGGCCCTGGGGGCTGTTCCCATCATTCCTCGCCAGCATTCGTGTCCCGAGGGCTCGGATGGAGGAGCCCGGGGGAGCTGGGGCTGGGGCGGTTTGAAGGCAGCCACGGATCCCCGTGAGAATCCCCCCGTTTCCCCGGGGCGGTACGGCCTTTGCTCGTGCACTTTGCACCGCGGGCGGTCACGGCTGTGCAGAAGGCACCTGGCATGGCTGGACATGCCCCGGGACAGCGTGGGAGCCATTCCCAGGGCCTTTGCTCTTGTCTATGAGAGACGGCAGGTTTAGCAGCCCCTCTCCATGAATCCCACTGCAGCTCCGGTTCCTTCAAAGAACCCGCGAGGAGCCAGTGGGAATTTCTCTCCTGGACGGGCGAGGTGGAGCTGATGCCTTTTCAAGCCTTTCCTGTCCCCTGGCATCCGAAGGACTTGCAAACACAGCTGTGTTTGGGAAGTAAAAACCTTCCACCTCTCGATGTTGTCTTGATTTTGATTCAAGCGAGGGAAGGGCTTGGGCTGGGCTATTTTGTCTTTTGTTTTCAAAGTTTTTGGCAAAAAAAAAAAAAAAAAAAGGCGCTGGCTGTTTTTCATCCAAATACCACTGCAGGGAGAGGGGGCGGGGAGGGAGAAGCAGCATGGCTTATTGCACGTAAAAATGCTGACAATGTCAGGGAGCCGTCCTGGGGAAAATATCTCTTTCTTGAAAGGAGAAAGGGGGAAAAACAGCAAGCTTTAAGGGTTTTGTTGTTGTTGTTGTTGTCATTAAGTAAGACAGGAGAGTTTTTTGCCGCTTCTGACAATGCAAATGCATCCCCCCTCACTGTGGAGGGGGTTTGCATCAGTCTTACTTTATGGAAGGCAAGTTTGAGGCTGACACAGTTCATTGCTTGGAGTTTCCACGCAGACCAGCATCCCTGGGACAGTCCTCCGTCCCCGGGGGCACCGAGGCGCTGTGAAACGGTGCTCCCTTTCCTGCGGCTTGGAAACACGCTTGGGTTGGCAGCTGCCCCGTAGGGCTGGTGCTCGTCCTCACAGCAGCAGTGTCCTCGCAGTGCCCGTGTCCCTCTGAGCACTGCTGCAAACACGGGGCTCCCTGAGAGGCCGGTGCCGCCGAGGTGTGGGGGGAGCCAGCTTAGAGGAGTCCCCACCCCTCTTCCTGGCTTTGCACCCTGACATAGCGCTTTGCAAGCCGTAACGACGTGTTGCTTGGGGCCATTAAGATTTGTCCGCTCTTGCAGGGCAGCTGATGCACTTGGTTTGAGATGAAGTGCCCCGTATTCGGGCACAACGCCCGGTGCCCCTACAGGAATCCGCACCCCCAGTAACTGGCTCTCCCCCCTCCAGGTGGATGTGACAGCCATGGCGTGGCTCTTCGGCTACGTGGACGTGACTGAGACTACCTTCATTGCGGCTGTCCTCTCCATCGCCTTCAACCCGCTCTTCTGGAACGTGGTAAGAGCTGCCTGCGCGCTGGCCACCCTGTTATTTTTAGCCTTCCTTTGCCAGCTACAGGGGGATCTCCTTTGGGCCGCACTGGAGGAAAAGCCTCTTTTGGGAAAGTCTGCTGGGCTGGGTGGGGTGAGCGGTGCTCAGTTACTAGGCGTTAGGAGTGGGTGAGCAGGGAGCTGTGCTGCAGAGAGAACTCCTGGGGCTGGGGGTGACTGTGACGGGTGTCACAGAGGAGGTGAAGGCGGGAGCCAGCGCGGGATGCAGTAGGAATTAGAAGATGAGCTTGGGAGAGGGGGCAGAGCAATCAAACCCGTCCTTCAGCCACCTCCTGCCGCAGCACCTCCCACCCCAGCAGCCAGGCACTGGTCACCACTGGGACCGAGCATAAATGGCATTAACCCCCCAGCGGGGGGCTGCACTGGATAGGTTGCCCACTGCTTCCCCTTGAAATACGTTGGCAGCTGGTTGTGTGGATGGCAGGAAGCAAAAACAGTCAGCCAAAAGTTAACCTGAAGAAATTCCCCCTCCATCACGCTGCAAAGTCTGGCAAAGAGCTGCAGAGCTGGCAGCCAGCCAGCCCTAAGCAGGAGCGGGGATACCTGTGCATGGGTGATGCTCGCTATCCCTGCGGGCGCTGTACCATCTGCTGGGTGCGATAGCACTTTGGGAGCTGAGACTGGAAGAGTCTCCGCTGCCCTTTACCGCTGCGGTTTGCTACCTCCCTGCAAGAGCAGCGGGAATCATTGCCGGCCCCGTTTTGGAGCGTTGCAGAGCCAGTGTGCCAAGCGGGGAGCCCAGGCCGGCTGCAGCACGAGGTGACTGGCACCCTGCAGCACCCTCGGCAGCACAGCTGAGGTGCGGGGTGAAACCTCCCCGCGAACGTTCATGGGAACAGGATGTCATCTCAGCCAAGATTCCCAAAACCACCCGCCAAACCTCCCCGCGGGGATTCTCACCCTGGGGAAGTCTTCTTAAAAAGGCCTTATTTTTCCAGAGGGGGAGGACTCGGCGCTCTCTGAGCGCGGGGGCTCTTGAGATTGTCTCACGCTGGGCTTTGGAAAAGCGAGGCTCTCCTGGCTGTGAGTCACTTTGGAAACCTCCGTCGGAGCTCTTTGTTGCAGCCTCCCTAATTTTTCATGCAACTCATTATTAAAAAGTCTCACAGTGTCTGAAACGCGAACTAGAATATGCCATGTTATTCCGACTGCGGAGTCATCATTTAGCATAAGAATCAATGAATAAGAAGATTCAGGATGTGGTCTCGGGGGGGAGAGACCGGCTCCAGCGAGAAACTGCATAAAAGGGAAAGAAAAAAGTACTTTATTAGCGTCTGCTACTACGCCTGCGACTCGTGGGATGCCTGCAGCTTGGGAAATAGCGTTGCTTTTTGGATCAAGAGTTTGGCTGCTGTTAAAGGAGAGGGAAAGCTGATGTAACAGCAGGAAGTTCATTGCTCTGCGTTGCTGTTGTCCCCTTCCAGTGTTTGAAGAGCATTGCAGTTGGCGGCAGGTGGCACTGCAAGCAAGACGTGCAGGGCCTGCGCCTGGGAGCAGAAGGCATCTCTGCATGGGTTTGCAGTGAGCAACCTGAGCTGGTGTGTTGGTGGAAAGCTCTGGGGAGGTGAGCGTGGCACTAGATGTTTCCCCGGCTGTAACGGGCCAGGTGGCTCTCGCAGTCCGTGTGCCTCCGTCCATACGCTTGCTCTGCCCAGGCCCCTGAGCATGTCCTTGGCATTTTCAGGCTCTGCCAGTCCCGGTGTATGGCTCGCACCAGGCACCGCTGGAAGGCTTTTGCAGGGGGGCTGTGGGACCTGCAGCCCTGAGCAAGCCCCCGCTATCGGGTGCATTTTAGCAGGAGCGGCCCCAGCCATCCCTGGATTTTCCCTGACCTGCTTCCTTTACCTCCTCCCCATCCTTTTTTGCCACGTGATCAGTGTCCCCTGCCTGCACCTAGCCAGCAGCTCTCCTTTCTTTCTGTACATCCCTGCACAGGCTCCCTTTGTCTTTTGCTATTTGACTTCCTTCCCGGCAGCTGAGATGGCTTCTGCATCTGAATTACTTTGGGCTCGCAAGAGCTTTAGTGCGAAGACTGGATTTCTGTGCAGTGCCAAGCACTCTCTGCTCTCTGTGCTTAATAAATAATGTGGGACTGTGGTCAAAAACCCTTCTGTGCATGAAATTCCTGATTTGGGTAGAAATTGGGTGGGGATGCATTGATTTAGTTCAGTGTCTTAATTCCCCGTTTCTGCTGAACTCCGGCCAGGTCTGCCTCTTGCAAAGTTTGGCGCCGGACTGTCCTTGCTGTGCAGCGCCTCTGAATAAATATGTGGTGGGGAAACCCCGGCTCCGTGCGGGGCTTGGCCGATGGAGAGGCACATCTCGAGGCCTCGAGCATAGCGAGGCGTTTGCCCTGGTAAGCACCAGGCATGTTTCTTTGGGACAAAACCTGCAGGGTTTGGGGACGAAGCACAAACTCTGAAGGCTGCGGGGGAGCGTGGCTCCAGAGAAAACCCTGATGCTTGTCAGGTCGATTTATGTACTTGGGTTAAGAGAGCAATTTAGAAGACCAGAGCCTAAGTGGGGCAATTTGCAGGACTCCAGCCGGGCTGTGCCGATGCTCCCTCCTGTTCTCCACAGGGGAGAAAAGCTCTCCAAAAAAGGCCTCAGGACTCCCGATTCCCACCCTCCTCCCTGCAGGCATGTGCCGGGGGGGTACCATGAATGTCGTCCCAGGGTCACCCGCTGCGTTTCCCCACCAAACCCAGGGGTCGCACCCCTCTTCTGCTTCCCCCCCTCCGTGCCAATTAAAACCCGCCCGTCCCCAGGTGGCCCCCGTGGCACAGCTTGGATGTGTTCCTGCACTGTTCTCTGGTTTTTTCCTTTTTTTTTTTTTCGTCTCTCCTCCTCATGCTGTCTCTGCTTTCCCCCCCCGGGGGGCTGTTACGAAAGGAGCCGCTGGGGGGCACGAGTCCGCGGG